TCATGAGAAGGTCAGGTGGCTCTTGGTTCATTGGCTTCAAATTCACAATTTTATACATATATTTATATATGTCCATGATATGTATATATATATACCCTGGAAGTCGTCGCCCTTAATAAAAATGTCTGCGGCAAGTCGACCTTTTTTATCACTTAAAAGGTATGTTGTGAACCAGGACAGGACATGTTGGACCTCAACTTTGATGATCTTTGGAGCCATTTGTATTCATGTCTTCAACCAAGATCACATTGGTCATCTTGAGACATTTGAGATGGACAACAAATGACCCCACGATTTCATTGGTCCCCTGCCATGACCAAAAAACCCTCCTTAGTCAACCTCTGCTTCACCCAATGATCTTTGGTGGGTTGAGCGCCATCGCCATATGCGTGCTATGGTGATGCACGTGTACCTGGGAAAGAAGATGGACCGATGGACCAATCATGATCCTTGGTCTGCGATTGGGGTGCGGGCCTCATCTTCTTCTCCAATGTCGACAGCTCTGACTCAAGCTGTATGCACAGTGTGTTGTGGGATAGAATTGGTGACTGGTGGAAATCAGGTCCTAAAATCAAATGGTTGGCATCAAAAGAAGCCTCATTCGAAGCCCGGAACTCAAATAGGTTTTGAGCAATGATGGCACACTGGCACAATACTACATTTTCAAGAAAGTCTTGGATCATCTTGGATCATATGGGTTTCTCTGCCCAGGGTTCTGTGAAGAAAGAGAACATCTCCGACGAGCTGGTGGGTTATCTTTGGAAGATGCAGGCACCTGCGTCTGATGCACATGCACTGTATGAGACCAACCATTAGTTACTTGGTGGTGAGTCCATATTGAGCCATGCAAGCAAAATCGGAACAGGTTTGTCTATTGTTTAATTGAAGTGGAACCCAATCTTGAAACTTAATTTCATATCCATGCATGGCCAATATAGACTTACCTTGACAATCCCTGTCTCTTTGCTCCCTGGAGCTGCTCGAGCGGGGGCAGCAGTGCCCTTTTCAGTGCGACCATGATGGCTCTTGGTGGTGAAGACCGCATTGGCCTGCTCAA